CCTTTCCTAACCACTGGATGTAACATATGCCCTGGTATAAGGACTGGTAAAAGCTGCTAACTCCCAATTTTCCTTGGAATAAAGCCCCTAAATTGCTTTTTCATAAGCTCAGCATGACACAGAGAAGGATTAAGCACACGTAGATAATAAGAAAATGTCAAGAGCAGCGGGAAACATTTATTTTTTTTCCTGAATGCAAGAGTTTCAGAGGAGCAGGGGCCAGTCTGGAGCTCTCCAAAATGACATTTCTGCTGATGCAGTGGGTTCAGCACTGCCTGGCTCACCATTTTTTGAATTAACAGTGTGCTCACCCAACCTGGCAGTCAAAAAAGGTGGAAACCAAAAAAAAAAAAAAAAAGCGCAGGACAAAGGAAAGGACACAGCAAGGCACTGCTCCTCTTCTCCACACACACCAGTTTCTATCACTTCAGTACTCAGTTGCTGGGCTCATTATTTACAGCCAAATCCTCTCCCTTTTTTCCCTTTTTATTACTTTCTCTTTTTTTTTTTTTGTTTTGTTTTGTTTTTTGGTGGTTTTTTGTTTTGTTGCTTCTGGTTTTGGAGTTTTTTTGTTTTGTTTTGGTTGGTTGGGCTTTTTAACTTTTTGTGCTGTACTTTGTGAACCTTTTTAGTACTTCTCACCAGCCTCTGCTCTCAGGATGGTGTCTCCTTGCAGTCCATCAGCAAGACACAGCAAGGCACTTCTCCTCTTCTCCACACACACCAGGTTCTATTACTTCAGTACTCAGTTGCTGGACTCATTATTTACAGCCAAATCCTCCTTTTTTTTTTTTTCCTTTCTTTCTTTTTTTTTTTTTGGTGGATTTTTTGTTCTGTTTTGTTGTTTCTGGTTTTGGAGTTTTTTTGTTTTGTTTTGGTTGGTTGGGCTTTTTGTTTAGGTGTTTATTTGTTTGTTGTGGTTTTGGTTTTGTTTTTGTTTTAATAACAGTTTGGGAGAGTTAGAGAGGCACAAAAATTACAATTTGATTATTTTTTCTCTTTGGTTTTTCTCCCATTTTTTCTGCAGTGCTGCTGTGGTGGGAGGGGGGTTTGGTTCCCCAGCTCCTCCCAGGCCTGCTGGGATGGGATCTGCATGGAAAAAAAAGGGTCTGAGGGCTGGGGTTTTGTTTTAACCTTTCCATGCTTAAAATGAAAATTTTCTCCAGAAATGTTTCATGTCACAGGCCCAGGGCAGGAGCCCCTAAGCCATCAATCAGAGAACAGATAGAAAAGGAGCATTACTGTTATGGATTTGCAAATCCCACTACGTGGCCTGGCTTATGCTCTGTCTTTATGTTACTAATACCCATTTAGCTGATTGACCCTGTGACTCCAACAGCAGATTGAATTTTCTTTGTAGAAGGTTGGGCTCGTTTTTATTTACCACTTTGGGTATAATAAGGAGAGAATGAAGAATAATTAAAAGAAAAAAAATATATAGTTAAAAACAAGTGAATTACTAATTTTCTAGAGAAAGAAAAATTAGAGTGAGATGTTACATTCTAGATTAAAGTAAGCCAAATTAAATACCATTTACCATATATACAGATATATGCATGGCCAACGTGGCCTAAACACTGGCACAGCTATAATTAAGCAAAGAAGCATTTTTCACAGCAATCAAAGAAAAAACATGGTCAAAAAAAGGAAAAAAAATAAAATATAAATTGGTTAAAATTCAGGTTTAAAAAAATATGGGTTAAAATTGGTTATATTGCTCAGTACCTGAGCAAGAGTCTCTTCAAGTTTCACTTCCTTGCCCTGTCCTGCTATGAGGCTGTTTCAGAAGAGCCACCTGATCCACAATAACTCCTTGACCTCACCCATTCAGAGCCAAATTGGCACCATTTCCTCCTCTGAGTGTAATTTCTGTGCCACAGAGGGCAACTTACTGGTGGTTAACCACAGTCCCAGCAGATTGCATAAACACAACTTACACACGGCCACTCGGGCACAGGGGGAGTTCTGCAGGCAGCACTCCTCCATTTCATAGCTGCATCTTTATTTTTGCAGGAAAAACAAACACTCATGGGCCTCATCCACTCAGAAAAGTGTTCCCAGCTCAGATCCAGAAGTGTCACCTCGGGTGGGGAAATTTGCATTATTAAAATGGTTGCCATGGCCCAGACCAGGTGTCCTTGGGTTCTGCCTCTGTCCCTATCCAGATGCCTAAAGGAGAATCAAGATCATGGCAGGAGGGAAGGCCTTTGAGGCACGGAAATCTTTTGAACCAGAGGATGCATCTTCCTCCTTATTAAAAAGAAATCAAGAGCCATTAGCTCTTAATGCACCTTGATCTCATCCACCCGACATGAGCACTTGCTCATGACATCTGTTTTGAAAAGCCAAAAAAGCATCCTCAGTCCTAAATATGATTTTGGTCTCAAAACCAGCAAAAAGTTTGTGTCTTGGAGTGACTCAAACTGAAACAGTTTGGCAGGAGGTGTCACTGCTCTGGTAATGTCACAGGAAATAAGTGCTGCAACTGAGGAGTCAAAAAGAAATATATTCCCAGGGACTTTAGCCAAGCTCAGGAAGCTTGCTTCTATTTTAAAATATCAGCTTGCTTTTCCAAGCCACCTGCAAAATTCTCTGGATGAATCCTGGCCCTTAAACACCCACAAAAATGTTCAGTTTGGGCATTATGAAGGCCAGATCCTTTTTCCAGGATGGAAAAGATGCTGCAGTGGGGGCTGGAGGCGTCCTGGAGAGCTCAGACCATCAATGCAGGAACACTGTACAGGACACCCAGTGCAGTCCAGCCCCCACTGCAGGTGCTTTGTGTCCTTTTTAGGAGCATTTTTGGACACTTTTGGCTTGTTCCACTTGCAGTGGGGATGCAAACACAGCTGGCAGGCAGCCAAGGGCATCCTCTCTCACAGGCAGGGAAAAGAACAGTGCCCTGGGGCACTCCCTCCTTCTCTCTCGTCTTGGTAGTATTTTTTTCCCAAACATTCAGCCTAAAAGCCTTCTCCTCCTCCTGTCTCTGTCCTCCCTTCACCTGCTGAGTGCCAACCATCCTTCTGTGGATTTCTCTCCAATGCTAATAGACTCTTCTTCTAATGCTCCCTCTGTTCCTACAATAGCACCGTGTTCCTTTTATCCCTGATGCTAATGGGCATATTTAACTTATTTCAGAATGGCCTCATGAATCAGCAATTTTATCCTACTTGCTCTATTCCAAAGCCCAGATCCCAGCACAGATAAGCAATTGTCCACAACAGGATGAATCAGAGCAACCTGACCCTGTGTAAACCCGTGTGCTTCATTGTGCTGAACAGGAATAAAACCCAGCTCAGATTCCTCTTATCTTCATAAACAAAGTAATGAGGAAATTTCTTCCTTAGGCTCTTGTTAGGACTTCCTTAGGCTTCTGCCCGGACTCCAAAAGTCCAGTTCTCCGAGAAATTCTTTGCCCCCAAACCAAATTATTTATTACACCCTCTTTTACAAGTAGTACTGCTGGTTGTTTTTCCTCATCTCAATGCAAAAGAGAAATAAAACTGAAAACGGTATTTCAGATAGAATGAGGATCTTGCTCTTCTCCCTTGGAAACAGTCTCAAGATACATGAAGGAAGAAGTAAAATAGCACTGAAGAGAAGTGATAATTATGCAAGTTTAAAAAAAATCAAAATGGGAAAAATTGCCAATAAATATATTCCAATACCACTGCTAAATCTTTGACTGCTGCTCAGTCCTGATGATATCACTGTAGGATGAGAACCACTGTAGGATGTTACATTGCAGATGGTTTTTTGTCCAATTTAAAGCGAGGGAGCACTTGGAGCAGGTGAGCCTGGTGCTCATGCTTTGCCCTTTTGTTTCATTCTGCCTCTTGGCACAGTCATTTTTTGGTGTTTGGAACTTTATACTCCTCTACCAGTTGAACTAAGTCTTTGCATTCATGTGTGTCTGTTCAAGCATCAAGTCTGGTACTTTGGGAGGAAAAAAATCTTCCTGGGCAAAGGAACACAAATCCAACTGTGGGGCCCTCCTGCTGGCAAATCCTTTGTCAATAACTACTTGGCTTTAAAAGTGCTGATTATACACAGAAATGTTTGTGGGACCAGGGCCAGTGGCTGCATTTTTCATTACTTACCTGTGCCTCGTGGATCTTCTGTTTTTCAGCATTTTGTCCGAGCAGGACAGCGAGGAGAACACTGCCCTGGCTTTGTCCTAACTGATCCTGCTCTTTATGTGGGGCTGCCAAAATATTCCACCCGTGCAAAACACCCATTAAACCCGGCAAGTCACATTGCTCAGGTTTTACCCCCAAATCAATCCATGATACCCGTTTTACCAGGGGAAGGACGTGGCAGTCCGGAGCTGGGGACACCCCTGGATAGGTCTGGATGGTGATCCCGGTTTCCAGGCAGGGTCACACTTGCATCTGAACCCTCCTCTCTCCCTCTCCCCACCCACCGGAGAGTTTGGGAAAGTCGGAGTGGCGGCTCCGAGGGCACATCCAGGGCTGGAGGGAGAGAAGGGAGAAAAGGGAGAGAAGGGAGAGAAGAAGGGGGAGAAGAAAGAAGGGAAGAAGGGAGGGAAAGAAGGGAGAGAAGAAGGGAGAGAAGAAGGAGAAGAAGGGAGAGAAGAAGGGAGAGAAGAAGGGAGAGAAAGAGGGAGAGAAAGGAGGGAAAGAAGAAGGAGAAGAAGGGAGAGAAGAAGGGAGAGAAGGAGGGAGAGAAAGGAGGGAGAAAAAGGAGGGAGAGAAAGGAGGGAGAGAAAGGAGAGAAGGGAGAGAAGAAGGAAGAGGAAGAGAAAGGAGGGAGAGAAGAAGGACAAGAAGGGAGAGAAGAAGGGAGAGAAGAAGGGAGAGAAGAAGGGAATCCCTGCTCCCAATCCTACCTGGAGCTGGCCGAAGCAGGAGGCGCCTGCTCAGAGAGAAAGGAGGGAAGGGAGAGAAGAAGGAGGGAAGGGAGAGAAAGGAGGGAGAGAAGAAGGACAAGAAGGGAGAGAAGAAGGGAGAGAAGAAGGGAATCCCTGCTCCCAATCCTACCTGGAGCTGGCCGAAGCAGGAGGCGCCTGCTCACCCCGGGCGCCCGCAGCGCATCCTCCGGCGGCTGCGGCTCTTCCCGGCGGGATAGCCTTCCCGGTGGGATCTGCGGGGCTACAGCTGCCCAGCTGTGCCCCTGTGCCCCCTTAGCCCCGCTGTGCCCAGCGAGGGGCTGATCCCCGGCCTCGGCTCGGGAGCAGAAGCGAAGGAAGGCGGCGATGCGGCAGCGGTAACCTGAACTCCCTGCCTGCCTCTTCCCTCCTCCCTCCCTGTGTCCCTGCCTCCCTCTCTCTGCCCTCAGCGGGTGACAGACCCGCCGAGCCTCTGCTCCAGGTTAGGAGCCGGCTGTGGATGTTTTTATCCGGGGTGTTTTGGATGGCAGGTGGGAAGCGGGGTCCTGCCAGCAGCTGGAAACCAGAGCAGCGGCGGCTCCTCCTTTCCCTCCTTTCCCGGCGCTGGCAAAGTTCGGCCGGGCGCTGCCAGCCTCGGTGCGCTCAGTGGGACAGAAACCCCTCTCTGCTCAGGCACCCTCGGAGGGGATTTTCCTGATGGGGAATGACAGCCGAATGCAAACCCACGGCGCCGGGGAGAGGGGAAAGCGAGGGGGGCAAAGCTCGCCCTGAGCGCGCCCCGGCAGCATCCCTGAACACCTCCCTGTCCGTCTGTCCCGAGTGTCCGGGCTCAGGACAGCCTCAGCACCGAGCCCGTGCCTCAGGGCAAAGTGCGAGTCCAGGCAGGACACCCGACCCCTTCCCAGCGCCAATTCCCATACTCGGAGCACGTGGAGAGCTGCTTTTTACCTTTATGGACTGGTGGCAGCGACCAGCGGCAGCTTCACACCACAATTATTGAGGCGAATGGCTCCGGGCGAAAGATATTTCTCTTCTAAACGCTGCAAGCTCCAGCAGGAGAAAAAAAAAAAAAAAAGAAACCAAACCACAAACAAAAAAACCCCTCCCAGACACACGTTACGGATAAAGCCTCACGTTTAATAGCAAAACACCCAGGGACGATCCAGGGCACTTTGAATTTCTAGCGAGAAAATATTAGCTTTGATTTGTCATTGTCTTTTTTTTCTTTTTTTTTTTTAAACAGGTTGTTAGAGCGCAGCACAAGAAAACACGAGACAAATCAATCACTGCGAGCTGCTGGCAGCTCCCTTTCTCCTCCCCCTCCACTCCAAGGCTGGAGATGGAGAGATGTAGTTAAGGAGACACAAAAAACGCTGTTTGCTTGGTGTACTCTGCAGGAGAAACACAAGTGAGAAGACAGGTCCAGATCCACTCCCAGACTGACTGCCCCAAAAGCTTTTTATTTTTTTAATTATTCAAAAAAACCACCCCCGGGTAGCTTTAGTTTCCTGCAATGAGGAAGCATTAGCTAAGGCACCTAAGAATGCCTGTGCCTCCCTCTGTGTGCATGACTCTCTCCTTTGTACTCAAAGTTCCTAAAAAAACCCTTGCCTTTAGTTTTGGGAAGTGCTAACACTTCCTTTGTCGCAGTCTGACCTACAAAGTCTGACAGCAACTGAACACACAAAAGCTGCATGCAAATTACCTGCTCTCCACCTGGAAATTAGTAAGGTTTGGGCATTTTCCCATGGCAGACAGGAGCACAGTGCTGGGGTGGGGCCCCAACCTCTGCCCACATCCCTGCTGAGCATCACACTGCTCACTGGCTGCCATCAGGGCAGCCCTGGAATCACAGAATGGTTTGGGTTGGAAAAGACCTTAAAGATCATCCCATTCCACCCCTGCCATGGCAGGGACACCTTCCACTGTGCCAGGCTGCTCCAAGCCCCCGTGTCCACCCCTGCCAGGGATCCAGGGGCAGCCACAGCTGCTCTGGGCACCCTGTGCCAGGGCCTGCCCATCCTCACAGGGAACAATTTGTCTCCCATATCTATCCTAACCTGCCCTGCTTCAGCCCAAGGCCATTCCCCCTTGCCCTGTCACTCCATGCCCTTGTGAAAAGCCCCTCTGCAACTCTCCTGTAAAGATTAACTAAGAGGGGCTCAAAGGTCTCCCTGGAGCCTTCTCCTCTCCAGGCTGAGAGCCAGCTCTCCCAGCCTGGCTCTACAGCAGAGGTGCTCCAGCCCCTCATCCTCGTGTCCCTGCTCCAGACTCATCCCAACAGCTCCACATTTCTCTCATGTTGGGCACCCAGAGCTGGATGCAGCAGGGGAGGCTCACAGGGGCAGTGTAGAGGGGCAGAATGCATTGCCAATCCATACAAAGCTCTTTTCACTCCCTCCAGCCAGGCCAGCCACCTCCAGGTCACTGCTCCCAGCCTGCTCTGTGAGTTTTAGCAATTTGCTAAATTCTCCACGGTTTTTAGGCTGCCCAGCTGTCAGCAAAGCAGGGAGGCCCCAGGGCTCAAAGTATTTACTGCATGGGCAGATTACACAGCCCTGGGTCTGGGAGGGGCACAAGGGGACAGAAAATAAACTCTGGAATATCCAGCCTTCATGCTGGGGGAAAAAAAAACACCCAATAAGCACAATCTGCTCCTCTCTACCTCTGATTCAGGACTGTGTTTGCTGTGTGAGCCCACCCCTAGCCCAGCATTTCAGCAGAGTAATGCACACATGTGCCTGCATTTCACCAGCAGTAAATTTAAGCCAACATATATCTACATGAAATCGGGCCTCAAAGAGTGAGTCAGGGCCTAAATCAGTGTTGCAATTGAACTAAAATAATCTAAGCCTGCTCTAAATGCACATAGCTTTAACCTGTCACATCAAATGAAAATTATATACTTAAACTGTAATCTTCCTGTTCCCTTAGTCATCAAAAGGGGCCAGATCAAATTTAAAAATAAAAAATTAAAAAAAAGAAGGGAATGTGGATGCTGTTCAGAGGATGAGGAGGAGGTGGGGCTCATGGAGCAGGATATTCACAGAGTCATTAAAGTTGGAAAAGCCCTCCCAGCCCATGAAGTCCCAGCTGTGCCCCATCCCCACCTTGTCCCCAGCCCAGAGCTCTGAGTGCCACTTCCGATCTTTCCTTGGACACCTCCAGGGATGGGCACTCCAAACCTCCCTGGGCAGCCCCTGCCAATGTTTAATCACCCTTCCAGTGAACAAATTCTTCCTGATGACCAACCTGACCCTCCCCTGGCAAAACTTGAGGCTATTCCCTCTTGTCCTGTCCCTTGGGAGCAGAGGCTGCTGTCACACACACACACAAGGTCCCCTCTGAGCCTCCTTTTCTCCAGGCTAAAAAACCCCATAAGACATAAAATTCTACTTGAACCAAGAGGTGTTTCTGCCCTCCAAGCTACACTCAGACCCAAACTCAGCCCCCCAGCCCTCCCATGCATTCTTCAAGCAGAAAAGCAGCAGCTTGAGTCTCTGGTTGCATCGGTGGCTCTGTGTTGTCATCTCCTCTGACAAGTCTGGCTGGACATGGCCTGGCTAAGGGACAGTAAATATTTCTGAGTTTGTCAGAGTGTGAGGCAGGCAGGGACAAGGTCAGGCTGCAAACACCCACCAAAATGCCATTGTTTGGCTGGGCTTGTGTAGAAGAATCAGGAGACCCCTCAGCAGGGATGATTGATTGATCAATTCCATTGATTCAGAATGCTGAACAATTACTTTATTAAAACTATGCTATATTACACTAATACTATACCATATTACATGAATACTATACAAAGATATATCCTAAAGAAAAACCCATGGGTGTCTCCAGACAGCCAGAACACAGCTTTGACCCAGCTGGCCAAGGAAACAAAACATTCCTCAGCAGAATCCAATTGACAAATCACTTCAGGTAAACAATCGCCATAACACATTCCACATGTGCAAAAACCACAGGAGCAGAGAATAGAGATAAGAATTGCTTTCTCTTTCTCTGAGGTTCCTTGCTGTGATTCCCAGGAAATAGCCTTGGGAAATTGTGCCTGCCTGCTCTCCATGAAGAGAGCTGTGGCTACAATTAATTCTTACTATAATATAATAATAACAACAACAACAACAACAACAACAACAACAATAATAATAATAATAATAATAATAATAATAATAATAATAATAATAATAATAATAAATTATTATAATGTTACAATAATTCTATAATTAATATAGTTAATTCTTATTATATTATAATTCTTATTAATTCTTATTATAATAAAAATAAAAAGAAGACTGCGTTTGCAATGCTTCTGCTGGGCCCCCTTCTTCTCTCTGTGCTTCTCCAGGGAAAAACCTGGGAGAAAGAATTATGTCTCTCTCTGTTCACAATGTGAATGCCACAGGCTTGAGGTTTGCAACATTTTGCTTTTTCACCAGGATGAAAAATGTGAGCAGGAGCTCTGTCCTTGGGTTTCTCTGAGCACACAGGAGCTCTTGCAGATGAAGAGGGTCACTGGTTTACACTCTGCCACTTGCTGTAGGAATGAGGTGTTTTGATGGCTTCGCTGCCTGACTGCACTGGGGGCTTTAAGGGTATTCACTCTAATGCAAAATCAAAGCCAATTTTCATGCAGAGCTTTTCAAGGTTTTTCTGCAGAAATCTACAGATTTATTTCAGTCAGGAGGAGGAGTTTTGTTGAAATAACAGCCTCAGGCCTTCAATGGGTGCAGTTTATGTTACAAAGACACAACAGCAGCGCAGATCAATCTAATATGAGGAAAATTGTTGCCAATAAAACCTACTTGTGAGGCAGCAAAATGGTTTCTACCTCAGATTCACAGGATTATAATTCTACTGATGCAAAATTGACAGGTTTTGCCCAGAGAAGCTGTGGCTGCCCAATGTCTGGAAGTGTCCAAGGCCAGGTTGGATGGGGCTTGGAGCAACCTGGGATAGAGGAAGGTGTCCCTGCCCATGGAAGGGGGTGGAATGAGATGAATTTTAATGTCCCCCTCCACCCCAAACCATTCTGTGGTTCTAAACCCACACCTTTGGCAGATGGTGCAGGGGCTTTGTTAGACAAGACACGCCAGGTACCTCACTCTGCATGATTTAAATTCCCTGATTTTATAACAGCACCTCTGCCACAGGGAGGGGGTTGGAACAGTGCTCACTTAATGAGATCAAAATATGTAAAATTCTACTGCAGCTTGTGCAAACAAGGCCCAAATACCACTCAGCATCAGCAATTAACAAGGTAAGTGGGTAGGCAGTGTTGTGTACTGTGCCCACAGCTGACTCCTGTACCCATCAGTGCTCCTGGGGCTGCCTCCAGCTCCGCTTTAATCCCTCAGAGCACAGAAAGGTTTTTCCTGCTGACAGAATCGTGTCCAGGCAGGTTTTGAGCATCTCCAGAGAAGGAGACTCCTCAGCCTCTCTGGGCAGCCTCTTCCAATGCTTTGTCACCACCACAGGAAAGGGGTTTTTTTTCATATTCAGATGAAACTTTGTGAGTTGCAGTTTTTGCCTTGTCCTGCTGCTGGGCACCACTGAAAAGTCTGGCCCCCTCCCCTTGGCACCTGCCTTTAAGATATTTGGGTGCATTGATAAGGTCATGGACTCATGGACTCCCAGAATGGTTTGGGTCCTTAAAAATCATCCAGTTCCACCACCTGCCATGGTAGGGACACCTTCCACTGTGCCAGGCTGCTCCAGCCCCAGTGTCCAGCCTGGCCTTGGGCACTGCCAGGGATCCAGGGGCAGCCACAGCTGCTCTGGGCACCCTGTGCCAGGGCCTGCCCACCCTCACAGGGAAGGATTTCCTCCCAAAATCCTCCCTGAGGATGCCAAAGCCGTCTCGGCACCTCAAAGAGCAGGGTGAACCCTGGCTCTGCACGGCTTTCAGCTGTC